CAGAAAGTGTCATTACAGTGATGAATTCATGCTTTTTATAACTTGTTTTTTGAGCTGTATGTTTCAATTTTTTTTCAGAGTTACATCTAGTTATCTGTAAAGTCAAATTACTTTTAGTAGGGATGTAACAATATCCAAATCTCTCTGTACGATATTTATTGCGATATTTTGGGGAGGCTAATATAATTGTAGATAGGATACATTTCTGCTTTTAAAATTCAAGTAAAAACATATCTCTTCATGTTGTCTGCACATGTTGTGAATGAATCATGGGATGTGTAGTTCCCTACGTTTATAAGCTGTTGCTACTATAAAATCATGCATTTAAGCAAAGGAACTTGTAATTCAGTATATATTGTGACAGCCCACTATATTATTGTGAGACTTTTGACGATACAGTATCACGATATTTTGGTTATTGTTACATCTGTAAATACTTTTACTTTAGATTTGTTTTTAAGTAACAAAACTGAAAATTCTATCCAAAATACAGGGACTATTTATGCATTAAACTTTTCAGGCAGCTTAAACATGAATTTAACAAAATAAAGGTGCTGTTATACTTTTTTTTTAGTCTAATCATAACTATTGTGTGATGTTGTGGTTATAGGTAACAGTTATGTAATTACCTCTGTGTATGTCGTATCTGCTCCCTGTGTCCAACCATGAAGTTATAAATTATAATCTTCACAAAAAAGAAAGAAAACTAGACACTAAAAAACAAATAATTTGCAGTACATCCAATCTAAGTTTATAGTGTCTCTATTAGGACGTGGCCAGCCTTTCCCATGACCTCTGAAATGGCTTGTTTTCCAAGAATAATTATGCAAAAATTCAAATGCATAAGATTAACACAAAATTCACGACAGCCACTTCACTTCGCGTAGTTGTTCGTATCACAGTTTACAGTATGCTATATCTGAAGTCACAAACAAAAGAACAGAACAAGCAGAATGGTTACACATGTTAAGACAGTCATAGACGGCTGAAATACGCAGGTTGGAGCACAAAAGCATCGTTCTATTTACAACTTACAGCCAATCAGAAAGAAGCTTATGTTACACTTTATATACAGGATTAGCATGTCCACCTCCAGACAAACTAAACAACAAGATGCCAAAATAAAGTTAATATTTTATAACTACTCTAGAATAAATACTGTTTTCTTTTCAACTTGCATTACCGCCTTTTTGTCCCATTCACAAAAAACAGCCTTGAATACAGCCAAGTAGGTCAAGAGGTCACTCATGAGAATATACAGAGGAGGAGATGCTGCAGGTTTAAACAGTTAATGCAGTTCAGTTCACAGGCAAAAGGGGGCGCCACAGATTGTTTTTTTTTTTTAAATGTAGAATACACATAAAGCATGAGAAGTCCGTTTCACATAAAAGTCTTCACACGTTTCTTTTCCAGAATCTGAAAGCTGCAGTTCCTCTAAGTGACCACAAGAGGGAGACTTTAAACATACAATCCCAATAATCTGTGAGGGCAAGTCTCATTTCAAAATGTGTTTCTTATATTTGGGATATAAATGTTAAAATGTACTAATCACCAATAAAAGTGCATTATGTAACTTCTCAGGAGGAAATTACACTACTTGCTTGTCTCCATCACTGTTGGGCAAGTTACGTCAAAACTGTAATGTGTTATTTGTGCCTTGCTACTGTCATTTCACTAAACCAGGTCTAAACCAGGCCTAGACTAGAACTGAACTAGAACTGAACCGAGGACTGAACCGGGAGGACTGAACCAGGACTAAACCAGGTCTAAATCAGGACTAAACCAGAACTAAACCAGGACTGAGCCAGGACTGAACCAGGACTAAACCAGGACTGAATCAGGACTGAACCGAGGTCTAAACCAGGACTGAACCAGAGCTGAACCAGGACTAAACCAGGTCTAAACCAGGACTGAACCAGGACTAAACTAGGACTAAACCAGAACTGAATCAGGTCTAAACCAGATTTAAACCAGGACTAAACCAGGATTAGACCTGGTTTAGTCCCCTGTCCAGGACTAAACCAGGATTAAATCACGTCTAAACCAGGACCAAACCAGGACTAATCTTGGACAAGGACTTGGATTCTAGGACCGGCCCTGAGAGAACCTTGAGCCCACAAAGCGCGATCGGGCATTGACTGCGTTTAGCCCCATGCAGCGTGGAGTTCTGCGCCAGTCCCGCGGTCACCTGATGGTCTACACTGGCGCAACTCCGGGCCCGTCCCGACACTGCTGCTGATATTGCAGTGATTTTAACGAATTTGTATGAAGAAAAACGAAAAACCCACCACTTCAATCCATGTTAAAAATGCATTTTAATGTGCGTTACTCACATTTGTACCGAGTAAAATATTACCATTTTTTTCCCGTGTAATGCATGAAACTAATCTAGCTCCATGAGAACGAGCAGGAGACGCCACCAGGCCAAGTTACAAGTCAGATCTGTGGAGATTTGACCCTGCAAGACCCTGTTAGAATGCATATTTTTCAAGGTATTTTTGAGCAGTAACAAAAACCAGTGGAATAAACATCATCTCCCTGGAGACAAGCAGGTGTGTATCCTCCAGAAAAAGTCACATAGTGTATCTTTAACAACTATTCCCCCACAAAACAGAGTGTGGTATTTTTTTGGAATTCATTTGTGACTGTTATATAATTTATAGTAGTCCACATGTTTTGCTGGGCTTTAGTCAGGACTGAAACATTTCTATTGACATGAGAATGCAAAATAAGACAATTTACAAATGTTTTCTATTTCTGAACCAGACACTTAAAATAACCAGTGTTTACAAAAATGCAGACTATAGGTTCACATGCGTATACTCAGACTTCACGGCCTATCCATATATATATTCTAAGACTAAAATGGGGCTGTAGCCTGTACTAGTTCTAGGTAGTTAAAGTGAATTCAAGCCAACAGGGAAGAGCAGAGGCCTCATTCATATAAAGCTGTTTCCCATGTTGTTCAGTAGTATGTGCAGGCACTCTTCTAATGCCAAAACAAGACATTCTGCATAGCTAAGAATCAAAGCAACAGCCACTGGCCTAGTCCATCATGCAACCGTCCTGAGAGCCCCTCATCAGGCTAAGGTGCTAACATAGTTTGACCACACGGTTAAAGTGCGTATGACAGGTTTGTACAATTTTCTAATTTTGATTTAATTCAGAAGGAAATATGTTGGAAATTACAGGAAGTAGAGCAGAGTTGTAATACATAATCATCAGGCCAGTCGACAGAATTTGGGGGCCCTGGGCAAGAAGATTTAGCCAGGTTGACACCACCTAGTGCCTCCGCTCAATTTCATTTATCTCCAGCGACTAGGTCAGGAATCGGAATACACTAGAGGGTTTGCAAGAACCCTGGAAGTGAGTTTGGGTACCAGCCAATGAGCAAAAAGCCGCACATTCTGTGTTGGCAACGATTCCCAAGATCAAGGATTTAAAGCCGGAACAAAGAGAATGTTTGATGAATTTTATCAAAGGGAAAGATGTTATTGCCCTTCTTCCTACGGGATTTGGGAAAGGCTTATTATACCTGTTAGCCCCATTAGTGGTACATTACATACGTCACAACCAAATAGCAGCGATTGGTTAAATGGAAAAAAGTACCTACCTACCGTAGAGCGAACTAATTCTAATGCTACGAGGTTTCCACAAAGTGAAACCGGGTAACCTTTTTTAGGTCACCTTGTCATGATCTGCATGTAGGTCTGCAATATAAGTTTAATTTTGTTCCAATATTGCTGGTTCAATTGAATGTTGAAAAGAAAAAGAAATGGGCTACATTTAACGCCCAAATAAGAGACTTATGGATCCTTTTATTGTTGGTTCAATTGCTGTTTTTCATTGTTTAAAACTTGAGTAATACTAATTGTTCAGAGAGACACGATCACTCAGTCAACAAAAAAATATCCTCATTAATGTTCAGTAATGGTCAAATCCACCTTTATTTTGTGATTAACAAATAATGTCTATTAACTTGGGTCGCACAAAGATTTGTAACTTTTAAAATATGGGTCCCCAGAAAAAAAGTTTGGGAAACACTGGATTAGACCAGACCCCTATATTCCCCCCTGTCGACTCCCCTGATAATCATATTGATAACATCGCACTAGGGAGACTCAGGCCACGTCTCATTTCTCTTTCCTCGTTTCCTTCATCTTGATTACTCTCCTGGATTCTGCGGGAAATGGTGAGGAAGGTCCCACCCACAGAGAAGACACAGCGATGAGAGCGGATACTAACTCCTCACTGAGACCAATAAAGTTTGATCTTTTATCTGACGTCTGCTCCTGAAGCCTCCCTCATGTTTACTCCTTCATGCTGTGGTTTTCTTAAGGACACCACTTAATCTGACACATTTGATTGACAGCTGCAAAATGGGGCATTGAGGAGAGGAATTCAAGGAGAAGGAAGCGAGGAGAGAGAAATGAGACGGGGCTTCAGCATTCAGTCCAAATGTTAGGTACAATTACACATTTTTCAGACTCTTTAAACATTAATCTAGTAAAATACTTATGATACTTGTAATATTTGTATTTGTTTGTGAGTACATTAGAGAAGTTTCGGAATTACCTAGTGTGACGTCAAATTACCAAACAGGAAGTAAAACTATAAATCCACACGTTGTGAATATAATTATCTTAACTATCAACCTGTCATAGGCACTTTAAAGTCCCCAACATGACATTTGTGCTCAAAGAATAAACTGTGGCTGTTTATGTAGAATAGACTGTATTGTGATCACCATATTGTCTATTACCAGAACGTGCCTCCGAGCAAGGCACTTTATACTTTTTATCACAAATGAAAGCGTCGTGTTACGTTAAACAGACGTATTGTAAGCAACACAGTGTAACTTTTTAAGTGTGTGTGTGTAATTAATTCAGATTTCAACAGGATTGACATTAAATTGGGATGAATAAATTGTTATTTATATCATGTAAAACTGACTTATTTAAAGGTGCACTGTGTAACTTTTCTGGTGAAGGGTCCGTTAAATGCTTTTCTCCATGGAAATGTTATTGCTTTGCCTGGAATGTTTCACAGTATGGCATTAGATAGAAAGCTGGCTTCATGGAGACCAAACCAGACCAAGTTACAGGTCAGATCTATGGAGAGGCACAAACCCCGCTTACAGTCAGAATGATGTTTTTCTAGCTATTTTTAAGCCATAAAACCACATGTAATTTAAATAAACGTAAGGTGGATCTGTTTAATGTCATACTATGGAACATTCCAGGCAGTGACATATCCATAGAAACAAAAAGGTGGCAGACCCTTCACCAGAAAAGTTACACAATGCATCTTTAAGTCTTGTTTAACCCCAAATATAAATTAGATGATCTGTCCGTGCAACATATGAAGCAAATGTTGATGTTTTAGCGTTTGAAATCAGCATTAGATAAATACAGGTAGTAGCAAATTTATGATTTGTACCAGATTGCTTCAAATTAAAATGTCAAATTTTGTTGGATATTGAATTTTTACAGATTGCTAGCATTCTGAAATTAAAAAAAAGAATCCTTATAATTAGTTTTGGTGATAATGTTTAGCCTTTTTTTCTGAATACACAACCTGAAAAGTGACATTGGTTTGTCTGAAATGTTGTCTGTAGCTAAAGCTGTGCATAGTACTTGTACAGCGTAGTAAGACTTCCACAAAGCTGCTTCTGGAGGAAAGCACTGATGTCTCTTGGCTGAACAGGACCTGAGGAACCGGAGCAGAGGGGAGGAGGAGGACACGTCTCGAAGGCAGAGGAGGAGACCGGAGAGCGGGGACACATGTGACTGTTACACTAATGACCTGGGTCAGCCGTGTTTAGGAGCGGTAGTCCTTCTTACTGTAGGGTCTGTTGCCCAGGATGTGGTCTATCTCTGAGACAACGTGTGAACTCATCTTAGGGAGGACCTGGAGAAGAAGTACATATCAGGAAACAAATAAATAGTACCATCAAAGCTCTAAGACACATTTTTCTGTTTAAGTATTTAATATTGAGAACTCCCAATCAACCAGAAAATACAGATTATGAGAAGAGATAGTTCACATAAATATGTCTGTGATTGCTCTGACCTGGATGGCCCCGAGGTTCTCCGTGAGCTGCTCAGGGTTGGAGGTTCCCAGTAGAACTGAACTCACTCCTTCATTCCGTAAACACCAGGCTGAAAAAGAGAAACATGTTCACAGAATGTCCACTGGATGGCGCCACTCTGCCTTTTTACGTGTTCAGCATGTGGGCCTCCTTTTCGATAAGAAGATCCCTGAGGCTCCTCAATAATTATCCACACTTTATTCAAATGAATTTCTTATGCTTGTTCTCTTAGATTTACATTTAAAAAAGTATGAGAAACAAATTCCACCAACTTGTGTGATCATTAATAAATGATTCTGAAATTAATCTTTGAGAGCCCCCCTGCAGCGCTACTTTGGGCAAAGATATGAGATCAAGAGCAAATGTAATATAAAATACAGTATATGAAATTAAATCTTTTGGTTATCGCTGCCCACTGCAATTCATGACTCAAAATAACAAAAATGTCTTCACAGGTTCTTCTATCTTCACATCCACTAGATCAGGGGTGGGCAAACGTTTGACTCGTGGGCCACAAAGGGTTTTAAAATTTGATGGAACGGCCGGATTAGGAGGAGATGGATGGAGTTTTTTGGTAATCCAACTCATAAGAGAAAAAACTAACATGGGATATGTAGAAAACGTATCCCATGTTATTGAAATATCCCATAACTGAAAATGATGGGATAAAATATCTGACAAAATATCTGTCTTTCAGGTCCCATGATATTTACCATTTATTGAAATTACTTTTAAAACTATGATTATGATTTTTAAAGTTTGGCGGGCCGCATATGGCCTCCGGACCATAGTTTGCCCACTCCTGCACTAGGTCCTCATCATAGTGACACTAAATGAATGTACAGTCGTCCCTCACTATAATGTGGTTCGGCTTTCGCAGCCTCGCTGTTTCGCTGATTTTTTTAAGTGCAATTTTGCATGCTTTTTTCTTTTTGCAGCGTATAATTGTGTTCCTCCCCCTGCGTCCTGATTGACTAAGGGACTGTAAACCATTGTCAGTCAATCTCCTCTGTGCCGTGTCTCCTGTACAGTACAGAATGCGTTCAGCTTTCCAAATTTACATAAATGTTCGATCATCAGCAGTGTGATTCTGAAGTGCTGTATGTTTTCTCCCCGACTAACGATCGCACAAAAAGTTGGACTTCTGGACACGCTGAAGGAAGATAGAAGTTACGTGCTGTAGGGATCCATTACGAAATACATTAATCTTCAGTTTGTTACATAAAGAAGGAGGAAAAAAGTTCACAGCCCAATAGCCAGCTTCATCCATGGGGAAGTAGTAGAAATGGTGGACTCCTCTAAGTACTTGGGAACTGTGATTCCTCCCTAAGATTTGATAAGAACACTGAGCAAATTATCAAACGAGGACAGGAGCGGGTTCACTTGATGTGGAAGCTCAGCTCTTTAATGTGTCACCTAACATTTTAAATAATTTTTATCATTCCTTTATCGAAAGTTTGCTGACCTTTTCTTTTATTTGTTGGTTTTATGGGTAATCTGTAAAGGACAAGAACAGTCTGAACCAGATAGTAAAAGTGTGTGGCAAAATCAGTGGGGTTCAGATAGAAGACTTGGCCTCTGTGTGGAGACATCAGGTGCTCCAAAAAACTAAGGCCATAGTAACCATGTACTGCGCTCACAGTTTGTGCAAATGCCCTCTGGGAGGCGATATGTCACCCCACAGCAAAAGACTACCCGCTACGCCAAACCTTTTATTCCTTCTGCCATAAAGCTTTTAAATGGAGAGTAAATTCGCTACTGTGTCCCTGATGCACTGAGGTTTGAATGTATGGCGTCTGTTTTTCTTTTTCTTTTATTATTTATAGATTGTGCACGACCAGAGATGTGAGAACTGAATTGCGCTTTGGGATTAATAAAGTTGTTGACTGATTCATTGAAAATAAGGACGACAGCGACAATAAGTTTTAAGAAGGATGCAAAAAGGGTTGTAAATGTCCTGTCTGAGAAAAATGTATAAAGTGTGTGGTGAGGGGTTTTACAGCCTTAAAACAGACATAATAATTGTAAGAAATAAAGCTGACGACTTCGTGGATTTCGCCTATTTCCCGCGATAAACGACCGATCACTGTATCTGAACGAGTGTGACTGTGTGCAGGTGCTCACCCACTGCGAGCTGGGGCAGGGTGCAGCCCAGCTTCTCGGCCATGTGGTGGAGCTCTTTGAGTTTGGCCTGCTGCTTCCTCCCGTCCTCGCTGACGATCTTCTCCTTCAGCCACTGGTACGACTGCACACAAAGGCGGGAGGGGAAATCAGTTAAGCAAGTCAGGCATGAAAAGAGCTGGGAGCCACTCAGCAAGTTATCTGATCCAAACCGTTCCAGGGAAAATCTATATTCAATTCTTCTCAAACTTTGGGAGCCTAACTGTGTAACTTCTAAAGTATGTGTAGGTACATTTATCACAGTTACAATCACATATTCAAAAGCTGCAGAGAGAAGCACTTGTTGGCACAGAAAACTTGAGATTAAACCTGCACCGTGCACATTTCTTATCTCCACAGAAATGTTACTTTGCCAATAATGTTCCACTGTATGACATTAAACTTCTATATCTTGCATTTATCCAATTATAAGCTCAGAAATGATGCTGTGAGGAAGTATGCTCCTCCACAGAACCACCTGCTTGTCCCTGTGGAGATAAGTTTAATGCCATAATACTAAGTTACAGTGCTTCTTCAAAACTGGCTCTTACACAGTCTAAATTCTCAGACACGAGTGAATGAAACGAAAATCGACTCCACATCACTTTGGTTGAAAACACGTCTGTTTAGTAAATACAGGCCTTTCTACTCCATAAAAAGTGGGGTCTATTTAGAATCTCATTGACCATCACATTGATTATGTTTCACAGGAGAAGCACAAGACGAATAGAGCCGCCTGTGTGAAAATGACAAGTGCATTGAAACACATTCATTATGTATAACTGGTAATGTAACTATCTATTATAACAAGAGCTGAAGGAGCAGATTGGAGACTGGATAAACTGTGTTGTTTATGCTGCAAACAACATTTACATTTACACTTTAAAATTATTATTTATACTAAAAAAGGTAATATTTTCTAGCCAGGCTGGTGCCATCTAGTGCCTCCACTCAATTTCATTTCTCTCCGGGGACTGGGTCAGGAATCGGAATACACTAGATTGTTTGCAAGAACCCCAAAAGTGTGAGTTCGGGCACCAGTCAATCAGTGAAGAGTCCAATGGGATTTATTTGGTCTTCAGATATTTTATGTTATTAGGTTCTTTTTACAGACCAGATTTTGTTTTCATACCTGACAGTTTCGATTGCTCAATAGCGCTCTTGGTCAGAGTGGTCACGTGATGTTACTGTGACGTGTCCGCTCAGCTGATTTAAACAGGTTTTGGTGCTGTCCTCCTACCAGTGGAGTCAGGATGACAGCGCCATCTGCAGTCCGAACCAGAAACATGCCCATGGGACTACAAACCGGGACGAGGGGGCTTTTTTACTCTCACACATCTGGGATACTGTCCAGAGGAAGTCGGACTGCAGATGGCGCTGTTGTCCATATAGTCTATACAGTCTGTGTTGGCAACGATTCCTGAGATCGAGGATTAAAGAGAATGTTTGGTGAACTTTATCAAGTGGAAAGACATTATTGCCCTTCTTCCTAAGGGATTTGGGAAAAGCTTAATATACCAGTTAGTCCCTTGAGTGGTGCATTACATACGTCACGACCAAATAGCAACGATTGGTTAAATTTAAAAAAGTACCCTCCTACCATCGAGTGAACAAATCCTAATGCTGCGAGGTCAGACGGTTTCCACAAAGTGAAACCGGCTGATGAATTAAACTAAACATTTTTCAGTTGATCTTTTGAAGTTCATTTAATAACAGAACCTGAAATATTTTATTGTATTTTATTTTTATTGTACATATACATTTATATAGCTCTGCCTTATTTGACACCAGTCTCTTGCTATTTTTGCTACTTATTTAGACTTGATTATTACCATTTATATTTTTTCTCTTTGTTATTATAATATATTGTGATGTGTGAGTACTGTGTTAAATAATTTCCCTTGTAGCGCAATAACATTTGTGCAAGTCTAAGTCTAAGAAACTACAGAGAACTTGTCAAGTGTCAAAATCTCTATTGCTAGAAATGCCACTTCAGTAATAAGCCTGTATGAATGGCTTGAACTTTCCAACACGGTGATTCTATGCATGAGCAGACGTGTCCCTACAGCTGTACAATGTAAATGAACCTTTGATTTAGATCCGCTAAAGGTCACAGCATTTCGCACTTTGGAATTCATTCTTTTTCCTTGCCTCGCGTAGTTGTTCTTTTCAGACATTGTCAAGTCTGTCTCTGCTCCATCTCTTGTCTGCATCCTAACTATATGTCCTCTTATTATATCTATACATCCCCTTTTCAGTTTTCCTTTGGGACAGCCCTAAAAACTATTTCATCTCCACATGTCCAGATACTGTACCTTCCAATATGCTTACATCTCATTTTTACATTTTCTCCTCACCTCTTCTCCACACTGTCCATTGCTTTGTACAATTTAGTGTTGATCTCAGCAGGGACCGCCCGCCTCTGGTTCCAAAAGTATTTAAAAAAAAAAAAAAAAGAACGTTTGCTCAGGACTAAGGCTACGTTTATATGATGACGGTCTAAACAGAAGATGCAAAAGTGATGTTGCGTCTTCACTTTTGAGGAAATGCCTGTGTGTACCGTATGTGACATAAACACGTACACGACGTGAGCAGATCTGATGAGAGTTTTGCGTCTTGGGCAGTGCAGATGGAAACACTACGGCGGAGCATATTCAACTTTTCCACTCTGGAGGGTGGTTTCAGATGTGTACGTTTTTCAGCCCCAAAAACACTGTCACTGTCTAAACAAAAGGCACTTTTAGAGACTGATGTAAATGTTTGTTTTATGTTTTAATGAATGATGTTGAGTGTCTAATTGTTTTAACTCCCCTTCCCCTTCCCTTGGCTGCTCTGGCATGCCCAGGCCAACATTGTAAATAAGAATTTGTTCTTAATGTTTTGCCTGGTAAAATAAAGGTTAAATAAAAATAAATAAATAAACTTCCGATAAAATATTTTGTCATTTTTACCCACAATCGTTCTCGTGTAAACAGGCCTTAAAGTTCTGTGGAAACTCACAAAACCAATAATTTAATTTCAGATTTGTTTCTGAAACTTTATTAAAATATTTCACAGAATCTTGCTCATTTTAATTATGGTTTTTGGACTTCAAACAGCAGAGTTATGGATATTAGTTAGGACGTCGCTAGTTAGCCTCTGTGATGCTTTTGAACTTTTAATATCTGCATTTTTGAAAAGTGTATGGGAAATATTAAATATTTATTTCCGGAACCAGAGCGGACTTCAAAGTAGGTGGGACTTCTGAGCACTGTGCACTCAGTCCTTGATGATTTCTTGCTCTACATCCTCAGAGGTATAATACACACTATAATGCAAGGAATTATTATACCTTATGTCACAATGTCTTAATGTCTCCGGGTCCTGGGTCCTGTACTGATGGTAAATGAATATCTTCGTTGTTAGAAGTCCAGTCTCTTGCCTCTTCTTACAACTACTGGACTACTTCAATTTATTCTACAAGTACGTAAAGATCATATTTTATGCCAAACAGCACTGTAAAGATTTTATGCTCCTCAAAATTTTACACACCAAGTACCAGCTAATAACATTTTGAGATTTCCCATTACGACCAAATCAAATCTAAAATGTCTCCCTCTCCACATCCAAAGTCTTTTCACCTTCACAATTTCAGCACTCAGCTTCACTCCAAAGCATTATCTGCTAATATGAAATAGTAGCAGTTATCGTTTTTAGCCTCATTTGAGCCGTCTCACTCGACAATGCATCAGTAGAGACCAAGTACAGAGGCCAGTGGCATTTTCTCTACAAATCAGGACTAAAATTTTGGAAATTTTTCCGCACATTAATTATTTTAAAGCTGCACTGTTTAACTTTTCCGGTGAGGTGCTTAATTAAAGTGCTTTGCCTGGAATATTTCACAGTATAAAACTTATCTATGTATCTGGAGATGAACAGGTGACAGCATCAGGCTAAATCTTAGGGCAGATCTAATACTTTTATTACCGTACTTTGGAACATTTAGCAAAGCAACTACTGCAATAGTTCTCCATAAGTTTAAAAGTTTAAAAGGCTCATATTACACTATTTTCTTATCTACTGTATATTATAATGTTGCTTCCTCATCAAAAAACATAGCTGGAGTTCTGTTTTGTTTCATTCACACATGTTTAACACACAAACTCTGCATATTTAGACTGTGTTTTTCTCTCAAACACCCTGTGATGTCATGTGGTAATACAGGAAGTGCTCCACTGTGTTTTTAAACTTCATACACCTTCACCAGAATCATTTAGATGATTTCAGCCCTAGAACTGCCGATCTCTACTGAACAAAAGGCAAAAGAACTTGAAACTGAACCTTGAAAACTACTCCTTCACACAGCATTTTGAGCTTTTGAGATGTAAACAGACTAATAATAAAAGAAAACTCAAACATTAAACAAAACACAATGCAGGGTATGTTTTTCATGAGGTAACAATGCTCACAAGTGTAAATTTTTCATAATATAGAACAGGGGTGTCAAACTCAAATTCACAGAGGGCCAAAATTAAAAACTGGGACTAAGTTGTGAGCCAAACGAAATATTTATTGAAAAATTTCAACAACATCTGCCTGTTTTCTCTTCTTTTGAGATATGTAATGTTAAACCTTTTCTTATTAAAATAAATCTTTAATAAAAGTTTTGCTTAACCACTGAATCCAGAACAAGCGTAATATAAAAATAATAACAACATTTTAAATAAATAATGTCTCTATAGTCTACCTGTAGTTGGCGGGCCAGGTCTAACATATATTTGACATGATCTCGCGGACCTAATATAATTACATCATGGGCCAAATTTGGACCCTGGGCCTGAGTTTGACATATACCTGATATAGGGCCTTTAAAAGTCTGAATCGTGCATAATATACTGTAAACCTAGGGGGGAGTAGTACTTTGTCCTCTGCCACACTTACTTTCATGGATGCCCGGGAAGTTTCCGGAATGCCGTTCTCGTACTTCCCGGTGATGATGCCACAGGCCAGGGGCGACCACGTCATGGCTCCGACTCCTGCCCTCGCGTCGCCATGGAGACCAGAGGCAAACAGCAGCACGTCGCACAAAGAGGAGAAGAATGAGAAGAAGGAGAAGGTGTGAGTGTGAAGTGATGCAGCGACAGGTGAAAATGTATGAGCCGAAAGAACACTCTGCTCACGGATCACACGCAGCGCTGAATAATGGACCATGGATGTGCAACAGTGCTACGGCTAAACTAAAACCAAATTACTCAAAGGGTAGAGTGACCAGATGTCCCCATTTACCCAGAACAGTCCCAGTTTTGAGCCTTGAGTCCCAGGTCCCAGTAGATTTATACAAAATCAGTGATTTGTTCCAGTTTTATACAAGAAATGTCTCAGGTGTCTCTATTTTTGACCAATTTGATCTAAACTAAAACTAAACTAGGATTACATCAGGCCTAAACCACAGGACTATCACAATTTTTGACTAATCTGATCCCTGCCAACAGTAAAGAGGAGCATAAATCATCATTTGTTTTGCCAAAATACAGAAAACCATGTTTTGCAAATGACTATAAAGCAAAAAAAAAATACAAAAATGCAGCGACAGAAGCCCCTCAGATTATGACTGACATGAGAATTCACAATGTTACACACTTTTCACAGTTTTATTTTTACCAAACATCCCAACCCAGGTCTGGTCACCCTATCAAAGGGAGAAATCAGAAATTGTCTCAAAAACTTAACATAACATGATCTTGAGAAAAATTAGAAACCTAATCATGTTATAATGTGGTCCCTGGTCATTATCTTACTCAAAGTTTTATTTAGATTCATGTATTTTTGAGTAAGCCTGTATATTGTCCTACATTTGAGGCTTGAATGCTCAGAAAATGTCTTACCCACTCCTCTGAGTTCATAAAATCAGACTACATGTTCTGCAGTTTTGAACAGGAAGTCAGTAAATCTTTTATTATTAAGTCAGTTTTAATCAATATGGCAGCACAGTGAACAAAGTGTAATACGATGTTCAACGCATGTTTCAAGATTAAGTATAACGTGTCTTCTTTCAAAGTGCATTGTGCAACTTGCTCAGTGGAGGGTCCATCACCTGCTTGTCTCCATGGAGATGGGCCTAAAATGTTCCAAAAGTATGGCCATAAACTTAAGAATCTCCATGGAGACTTGCATGTCAAATTAAAGTGTAGTTTTAGGTTTTTTAAAGATATTTTTGAGCAATAAATCACACCTGTAGTTGAACAAATGCAAGACAGATGAGTTTAATGCCATACGGTGGACAATTTAAACCAGGCATGCCCAAACTATGGCCCATGGACCAAAGGCGGCCCTCAAATAAATTTTCTTGGCCCTCAGGCTTCCAGGTGAATTGGCCCAAATTACCTTGCATCAATTAAAAATGAGCTTACTGCAATTAATTACTGCAAGTTTTTTTGAAAATCTACCTTGATAAAGCTAATATTTAATATTTAGTGTGTGGTTTTAAGGATCTTAGAATGAGTCATCAGTTTTTATTCATGCTAACTTGTTAAACGTGTGCATATTTCAATTATTCCCTGTACTGAGCGTCAGTCTACGGCCCTCGATCAGCCCTCTGCTTTGTCTGTGTTTAGATATGTGGCCCGTGATGAAAAAAGTTTGGACACCCCTGATTTAATCCAAAGCATTAACATCTTGTGGGCCCTCTCCAGAAAAGTTACACAGCGCACCTTTAAATAATCACATTCAGAATCAATATCAAAGTGTTGGAACTGACCAGATGACCAGACTGACCAGTGGAACATTTGCTGAGTAGATGTACTTTATCTGTTGCAGTCGCAGTACTTGCCTATCTTGTGGTAGAGCTCGGGGAGTTGCACCTCCACCTTCTCCCTCTGAAAGAGATGGTACTCAGCCTGCTCACACACCGGGGGGATCAGGTTAAACTGCCGCGCCACAGAGTACGCCTCCTACAGGACAACACAGGAACATACACGTTATACTTTAAATACAAATACATGTGATTCATATGTAGAAACTGTTTAAAAAGCTAAAACTATATCCTGAGGTGTCCTGCAAGTAAAAAATGTAGAGCTGAGGAAGTGAATTTTCAATGAGGTGCTTTATCCTTAATAAAGCATGAACAAACACTTAATTCATAATGAAATAATAGTTTAAGAATGATTCAAACATAGTAACGGCGTAATTAAGTCAGGGTTAAATTTTAATTAGTTACAAAGCCTGAAACGTTCTTAATTAACACTTTGTCCATTATGAATTAAGTTTTTGTTCACTCTTTATTAAGGCTAATTTAAAGTGTAGTTAGTATGAAGCGTTACCAAATAAAAAAATATGTTGTTCACGATTTTGATGAATGCAAGAATAATCCATTGCAGCTGTCACACAAAATAAAATATTACAGAAAGAGAGAGGCACACATTTATGTAAAAAAAAAAAAAAAAAAAGTTCGCCATCTGCTTGTCTCCATGGAGTTTTTGTCCCAGTACGGCATTAAAAGTATCCATCTTGCATTTACTCAATAACATGGGTTTTTAATGACTTAAAAACTTGCATTTTTACCGTGAGTGGGCTCGCCTCTCCACAGATCTGACGTGTAACTTGGCTCGATGGTGTCACCTCTTGTCTCCAGTGTAATGTAAGTGTAATGTCATACTGTGGAACATTCCAGGCAACATCTCTACAGAGAGAAGCTGGTGATGGCCCCTTCACCAAAAGTTACACAGTACACCTTTAAGATTACTTCAGTAAAACTATTTACATGATAAGATGAGATTTTATATTTTATTATTTATTTTTCTATTTTATGTTGACTTACATACAATTATACCTTATTTGACACCAGTCTTTTTGATCTTTTTTGTTACTTATTTAGAATTTATTATTACCATTTATATTTTTTAACTTTTTGTTATTATAATATAGTGTTATGTGTGAGCTACTTTCCCTTGTGGATCAATAAACTTGGCCAAAACCGAGCATACATTGTGCGATTTTTATTTAATTTTTTTTACTTGTGCAACTGAGTTTTGGCTTAATCGTGTGTCATGCTTTGTGTAGTATACATGGGGTAACGAGAACTAATTAATACCTTGCGACAAGCCCCAGATCAGCCATCGTAGGTCGCAAGAATTTCAAACCTGTATATCAGACCGCATCGTCGTGTGAGAACAGGAATTGTGGACTTTTAAAACCTGCAATTTGGTCTTTCAGTTTGAGCTGCAGCTGAGTGAAACTATCAAAAATATCGCACAGTGTACGTCCGGCATAAGTCTAAGTCTAAGGCTACGTTCAGACTGCAGGGCTTAACGCTCAATTCCGATTTTTTTGTGAAATCCGATGTTTTTGCGAGGTCGTTCACATTTCCAATTAAATGCGGCTTGTATGTGACTCCAGTTTGAACAGTAAACGGCCCGAAAGTGTCCCGCATGTGCGCACTGGGGGACACGATGACATCAACCGCAGTGAGCGTGCTCAGCATTTACGGAAGTTGTCCAAACATGGACGCGAGCATTGAGCACCTGGCGATTTTAAAGTTCCTCTCGTACTGGAGCCAGAACATGAACAACTTACTTGTTTTAAGGAGGAGATTGAGAAGGAGAAGGATGAGGTTTTTGGCCGTGGCGTTTTATGGGACAGCGGCAGCGACGTCCATTGAAAGGAACGTGTGGATGTGGAGACGTAGTCAAGAGTGGTGAGTGGTGATGTGCTTCTCTTCAGTGACACGGAGTTCATTAACAATTTTCGCCTACTTCAGCGCAGAATAGTGACGTTTGTAGCTTGTTGATAACGTGTAGGTCGGATGAATGTGCTTTGGCCGTTCAGACTGAAGTTACATGTCAAAAGATCAGATATGTATCGGTTTTAGGACCACATATCCAAGTGGCCTGGGTCGCATTTGAAAAAATCGGATCTGTGTCATTGAGACTGTCATTAAAAGATCGGATACAGGTCACATAGAAGCCAAAAAATCGGATTTGGGTCACTTCAGGCTGCGGTCTGAACGCAGCCTAAGTCTAAGATAAACAATGGCAATTTTATAGTGCGAATAATAACAAAAATGTACTTATTTTTTGAGTAAATCATCTTGAAAACCTGACACTGCGAGATCCCTTTCTCAATAACCAATTCAGTTCACATTTGAGACTTCCCCCTTCATCAATATTGGTACATGGACCACTGAATTCCCACAATTGTTATCATTATCAGCCATTACAGTACACTTTACCCGACAACCCTCTATTCAAACTGTCCTTTCTCTCCATTGGACCATCTACTATATCACTGTGTAACCACGGGGCTTCACATAATGGTTCGCCAGTGTTCTAATGTCAATGCTACGGTTGGGTTTACAAACGACAGGCGGCCCTTTGCTTTGCGCTGCTCTGTTCTCCTCTCCTTCCCCGCCCCATGTTCATTATTGATGCTATCTAAATTGCTCTTCTTTCATGTACCCTTGTGTTCTCTTGAGATACGTGGTCCCTATGATGGAAGGCAGGGCGGGTGATTGGAAGAAGGGAGGCGGTAAAGACGGGGGGCCACGGTAGGGGTCCAATTCACTTGTGTGGCCCAGAGAGTATTTTCATTACCGTAACGAGATAAGAAGAACAGAGCTGTAGATGGATGGAGGGTCCTGTAGGAAAGCCAGTGTTACGAGGCTATCAAAAGTAATCTGTGCGAGTCCTCCAGGCGCACTGCACTGGATCATGGCTTATGATTAGAGGCTGTGTAGGGTTTTATAGGCGCACTATGTAGCTTTTCTAGGATTTGCCACTGTAACCCGGCTAATGTCAGGTCTGGAAAAGCAAAACTTCATGACAAACACATTAAAATAGGGTCCCCAAACGCCGGGGCACAGACCGGTACCGGGCCATGGGTCAGTTGGTATCAGGCCATGAAAGCAGAACGAAATCAGAACTAAACCAGGATTAAACCAGGTCTAAATCAGGTCTAAACCAGGTCTAAAATTAGGTCTAAACCGGGACTAAACCAGCACTAAACCAGGACTAAACTAGGACTAAAACCAGGACTAAACCAGGTCTAAACTAGGACTAAAACCAGGACTAAACCAGGTCTGAACTAGGACTAAAACCAGGACTAGAACCAGAACTAAAACTAGGACTAAAATCAGGTCTAAACCAGGTCTAAAATTAGGTATAAACCAGGACTAAACCAGCACTAAACCAGGACTAAATCCGAACTAAAACCAACACTAAACCAGGTCTAAACCAGATCTAAACTAGGACTAAAACCGGGACTAAACCAGGTCTAAACCAGGACTAAACCAGATCTAAACTAGGACTAAAACCGGGACTAAACCAGGTCTAAACCAGGACTAAACCAGGTCTAAACCAGGTCTAAACCAGATCTAAACTAGGACTAAAACCGGGACTAAACCAGGTCTAAACCAGGACTAAACCAGGACTAAACCAGGTCTAAACCAGGAATAAATGCAGAACTAAACCGGGACTAAAACAGGATTTAACCAGGACTAAACCAGGACTAAAACAGGATTTACCAGGACTAAACTAGGACTAAACCATGCCATGCGTAATTCAGGAAGTGCTCCACTGTGTCACCTTCACAAGAATAATTTGGATGAATTCAGGCATGAAATTTCCAATCTACTAAACAAAAAGATAAAGGTAGCTTGAAAACTACTGCTTCATGACATCACAAGGTGGAACAGAGCATTTTGAGCTTTGGAAATGTAGACAACTAATAACAAAGGATTACTCAAACGTGTGGATGAAACAAAACACAACTCCAAGTACGTCTCTGCTCACAATTGATTTGGAATAAGTCAAAATTCAGAGAAAAGTCTTCTCTCTGCATGTCTCTCAAAAACAAAACACTTTGTATTTCTGCTAAAACAGGCTGTAGTGTGTCCTTCTGCAGTGCCATGTTTGTTTTGGTTTGTTTTGGTTCTTCACCTTTGGCTTCTTCCCAACCACAATGCTGCCCTCAGATTGGTTTGAACCACTTATTAACCATCGCAATCGCAACAGTGGGAGCCAGTAAATGGATTCTCGGGAGTCACAAATATTGATAGAATTCACCTTCCTGGCTAGGTCACCGCCACATACTTCATGGAGATGTTATTGCTGTGTCCAGTGTGACACTAAGGTCAGGTCTGTGGAGAGGCAAGCCTGCTCAGTAAGAATGAATGTTTTCAAAGTTAGAAATTGTTACCTCCTACCTAAGACATAAATGGAGTTGTGTTTTGTTTCATTCACACACGTTTGAGTAGAGCTGTATTATTAGTCTGTCACCATCTCCAAAACTCAAGCTTTTCAAGTTAACAGCTGCGTTTTACCTTTAGTTCAGTAGAGCTTGGCCTTTCAGATTCTAGTGAAGGTGTATGGACTTTAAAAACACATTGAGCACTTCCTGTGTTACTGGTATAACAAGGTGGTGTTTTCTGCTTGAGTGAAGTCTACCGTATTTTTCGGACTATAAGTTGCACTTTTTTTCATGGTTTGGGTGGTCCTGGACTTATACTTTGGTGCAACTTATATATTAAAATTTTGATACTGACAGCCGCTCTAGGCTTGTGTGTCAGTATCTGCTACTACTTTACCATTGTCACGTTGCACCCTACTGCACATGTCTCCTACAGAAAAAAACACTGTCCTTCTGCAAGTAGCAAAATATGCAGCCGAAAACAGTAACCGAACAGCAGAAAGAAAGTTTGGAGTGAGCGAGAAACTTGTGAGGGACTGGAGGAAAGCGGGGATGGAGAACATAGTTTCACTGTAACCGGGCGGGTGCACCATGCAACTTTCCTGGAAGTCACTGGCTGGATGGATTGACAAAGCCTGGACTTCAGTAACAACTGAAAAAATTTCGTCTTCATTACGTATTTTTTGGCAGCTGCGACTTATACTCCTGAGCAACTTATAGTCCGGAAAATACGGTAAATATGCAGGATTTGTGTGTTAAATGTGACAATGAAACAAAACACAACTCCAAGTACAATTTTGATGAGGAAAACAACATTATATCATAGAAATAGAGCAATATGGACTCATTAAAACACATTCCAGGCAAAGTAATAACATCACCATAGAAACCCAACCCACCCACAAGAAAAGCTACAAAGTTCATCTTTAATTCTGTGATCTGCTCTTTAAACCACGAAATAATATCCAGAAGCGTAGTTATTCACTGTTTTCACTGATATGTGAATGAGTCAGTTTCTAACAGCTGGACTGACTGATGACAGGTGTTGTATAATCACATTGTTTTTGCCTGAAATACTGGAGCTCCACAGCGCACACCCACCTCCGCTCGCTCCAGGCAAATTCTCCTTTAATTTTCACTTATATTTTCATAATGTAAGAGTTTGAAAGCAGCGCTAAGCAGTCTAATCAGCTATGGAGTAACTAATGACCATGACGCATTTCAATCAGACATATTTAAATGTATTCAGAACTTTGCAGTTAATCAGGCCTCAGTTGTATGTTTTAATTAAAATTGTACGTTTTACCGCGGTGAGTTACTCCAACGATGATTAGCCTGTTCGAGCTTGTAACTTTTGCGTTTCAAAAAGTCTAGGAAAAGCATGGAAATTTTAATATCAGCCCATATAAACAAGACGTGATGTGATTTATGTGTTTTAGTTTTATCTTTATCATTGTGCATTTGAGACACTATTGCTTATATTGGACTTTTTATGTTGGAGGCAGCGTAAAGAGACTCAGAGAATCAGTTTTGTTTCTACTATTTGAAATGAACAACATGTAAAATAATAATATAGGTGTACTGTGTAAATATAAAAAGTATATGTTGTATTTAAAGTGGGAGTATTACACTTCTATGGGGTATTAACTTCTAACACATAACATATTTAGATCACCATGTTACCTTTTATTGTTATGAAAATGCTACATTTGCCAAAAGTTTCCTCCATTCGCTCTCCACACTAAGTCACTCCCTCTTCAGAGCGCTATCACAACATAATGCATTGCGCTAATGGAACTACTGCACATCGCATCAGGTTTGTGAAGTTGTAGTGTATTGTTTTGTATCACACTTTTGTATATTTATGAAAAGTTGTCATACAGGGGCATGGGTGATTTGTGGACTAAGTCTTGGACAGAATCGTGGAGGAGCGTTCAAAGAGATTGCTAGATTACTCAAACATGCAGGGATGATCTAAAACAGTGTTTCCCAAACTTTTTTTTCTGGGGACCCATATTTTAAAAGTCACAAACCTTCACGACCCAAGTCAATAGACATTATTGGTAAATCACAAAATAAAGGTGGATTTGACCATTATTGAACATTAATGAGGATATTTTATTGTTGACTGAGTGATCATGTCTCTCTTAACAATTAGTATGACTCAAGTTTTAAACAATGAAAAACAGTCATTGAACCAGCAATTAAAGGATCCATAAGTCATCTATTTGGGCGTTAAATGTAGCCCATTTCTTTTTCTTTTCAACATTCAATTGAACCAGCAATACTGGAACAAAATAGGCAATAAAGTAATTACAAAAAGATTAGAAATTATAAAAAACATGTCTTAACATTTCAACCTGCAGGCAGATCGGGGCAACCCACAAAAAATCTCTTGTCTTTGGGAAACAATGATCTAAAACCTCTTCAGGCATGTTTTGGATGAGAGAACAATGCAATTACATCCAAAATTTGCCCCTCTTTAAGGTTACTATTAAAAAAAAAAATGCAGATCAGGTTGGATATTTGTGCCTGCTCAGCTGTTCTCGTTACTCAGCTCTAATATCTCTGATCAAGTAGTTCCCACAACCTTTTCTACACCATTTCATTTGTATTGGCTTAAAAGTAAATCAGACTTACCATAATCTCCATCGCTGTCCACCGAGACGTGCCCCAGTACATGGCCATTCCCTGGTTGATCACGTAGGTCATGGCCCGCACTATTTCTGTAATTACAACAATATTATTCACATCAGTTATTGTATTTTAACTCAATATAAGTGTACAAGCTTGACCTCTAGAAAACACAATACAAGATTAATGGACACAATTGTGGTTCAGCGAATGGGCGCAGTAAGTCCACTGGGGTTGGCTGTTGATTTTTTCTACAGACTTTGTAGTTTATTGGAAAATTTGTGAACTACATTTATTCCTTTATTGACTTTTTATCTGGCGTTAGCACCAGAGTTTTCTAAACCTGCACTGACAGAGAATAATAAAAGATTCTGAGTTATGGATCATAAGAATGGAATAGTTAAAGATGTACTGTGTAACTTTTCTGGTGGAAGGCTTGCAAAACTGCTGGTCTCCATGGAGATCAATCAATCAGACTTTATTTATGGAGCGCTTTTCATACAAAAAATAAAACACAAAGCACTGAGAGTTTATTACTTTGCCTAGAAAGTTCCACAGTATAGCCATAAACTTATATCTCTCCATGGAGATAAGCAGAAGACACCACCAGGCAATGTTACAGGTCAGATCTGTGAAAAGGAAAACCTGCTCACAGTAAGAATGCACGTTTTTCAAGCAAATTTTCAACAATGTATTTGAATAAATGCAATGGTGATATGTTTAATGATACATGGTGGAACATTCCAAGCAAGGCAAACTTCATTCTCCATGAAGCCATTTCATCCATCCAAACTTTTTTCATCAAGGGCCACATATTTAAACACAGATGAAGCAGATCGAGGGCTGTAGACTGGAGCTCAATACAGTGAATAATTGAAATACATGCATGTTTAACACGTTAGAATGAGCCATCAGTCTTTATTCATGCTAAAATCCTCAAAACCATACACTAAATATTAAATACTGGCTTTATCAAGGTAGATTAAAAAATTAATTAATAAAAAAATAAAAAAAAACTGCAGTAAAAAGTACATTTTTAATTGATGCAAGGTAATTTGGGCCAATTCACCTGGAAGTCTGAGGGCCAAGAAAAATTTGTTTAAGGGGCGCATAGTTTGGACATGCCTGCATTTAGTGAACCTTTAAATAAACTATTTAAAGGTGCATTGTGTCACTTTTCTGGTTGAGGGTCAGTCAAATGCTTTTCTCCATGTGGACGTAATTGCTTTGTCTTTAATGTTTCACAGTATGGCATTAAACCTTTCTATCTTCATGGAGACCAAACCAGATCAAGTTACCGGTCAGATCTATGGAGAGGTGACCACACTCACAGTCAGAATGCCAATTTTTCTAGGTTTTTGTGAGCTATAAAACCAGGTAGAGCTTTTTAATGTCGTAGAAACAAACAGGTGACAGACCCCCACCTAAAAAGTTACAGAGTGCACCTTTAAAATAAATGAAATACATAAAACTGTATAGCATTTTAGCAACAAGAATATGAATTTACCTGCAAATATTTGGATTTTGTTATACATTTTAAACTCCCAACTTTTGTGGATTTGAGAAACCAATTTATTTGTCACACTTGGAAAGGCACTGAAAATCCTTAGATGAAAAAAAATATGACTGACAGCTCTAAATCATCCCAACTTTTTACCACAAAACCTGGCTAACCACTCTGTAGCCGAAATAACAAGCTCCTACATCCACCTTCTGATGTGCCTCTCGCCCCTGCATTTTAATGATGCAATTAGCCCTCAGCTAGGGCTAGCCTGGGCCAGGGAAGGATAAAACGCGATTAGAACTTCCTCTAGAGTTATTCATCATCTCGGTCTGTTTCAATTATATGGCAATCCCTTACTTTTCACACCGCTAACTGTTTTCTGGAAAGCTAACTCCAACACCGGGGCGTCAGCAAGAAACGTTTGGCAATGAAAAGAACAAAATAGCTAATAATTACAAGATAGCAGCATGGAGACGGCTAAATAGTATCCTGACATTGGAATTAGTGGGGTAAACCGTGAATTTGTCTTTCATGTTTTGGTTTTGGGCGGGCCATGTGAGGCTAATGCTAAGCTAATGGACTACTAAATGCTGCTTGTCTAAGTTTCCGACGCCCACAAGCTAAAAGAAACAACACAGCTCTAACATTGTCCTGTTTTATATATAGTTTATATTTTATACTTTTGCTCATGTTAAAACCAACCAAAATTACATAAAGAAATGAAAGGTTTGTTATTTATAGCGCACATGATGACAAATTAGACTACTTAAAAAATACATAAATATACAGGTGACTCATAAAAAAATTTGGATAGTAGTGATAAACTGTTTGGGGAAATTGATGGACCAAAACCAGTGGTGGATTCAGTTTTATTACTTAAGTAAAAGTACAAGTACTGAAGCAAGATAGTACTCAAGTAAAAGTATCACATTAAAATCTGGCTTAAGTTAAAGTACTTATTTAAAAATGTACTTAAACAGCAAAAAGTAGAAGTATTTTGTGCAGATTTTGAGGTCTTATGAGGGTTTAAATGTAGTGATTTGAGCTGAATTTTGTTCAACGGAAACTATTAAATTGATTGTTCTTTTGATTCTTTTGAGCTGATTTTATTTGTATATTTTAGGGGCGTAGCAATAACCAAAATATCATGATATCGTCAAGTCTCACAGTAATATCGTGGGATGTCACAATATATCGAATCAGTTTCTTTGCTTAAATGCATGGTTTTATAGTAGTAAGGGCTTATAAACACAGGGAACTACATATCCCATGATTCATTTCAGTGCAGACAACATGAAGAAATATGTATTTACTTGAATTCTTGGGATTATGATGGAAATAATTCACACCAAAATCTTGTCAAGGTATTTTAAATGCAAAAATTGTCTTATTTACATTCATATTAACCTCTCCAAAATATCGCAGTAAATATCGTATCATGAGATGCATATCATGATAATATCGTACCGAGAGATTTGGATATCGTTACACCACAGTATATTTTCATTTGGTCAAACTATAAATGTGTTAAAAATAAACCTCTCAGCCTTTTGAGCAGGTCTCAAACAATAATAAAAATACTTTTACGTTTCAGTATTCTAATACTAGTTAAAACATGTAGTGGAGTAGAAAGTACAGATATCTGCTCTCAAATGTCGTAAAGTGAAGGTAAAAAGTATCCAATAACAATGTACGTAATGTAAGTAAATATATAAGGTAAGTGGTACAGATAGCTAACATTTATATTTAAGTACAGTACTTTACTACTAATACTTTTTTATGTTGAACCACTGACCAGAACCAATCTAAAAGTCCTACAAGACAGATGGAACAGGTATCACAAGCACTCATCTGTACAGTGTATTTGGACCTATTCTACCATGGACCACTCATGGACGGATGAGGGATTACATCATTCTCAAGATGGATGTTTGTGAGTTAGATTTTGAAAGCTCAAATCTCTTGACAGCCTAGTCAGAATCACTGACTTAAAAACATACATCTATCTGTGATTGTAGTATTCACCAAGGAAATGCAATGTGCGATGCCTGGTGGACTACAGAGGATGTGGAATGTATATGTCCCAAACTGAACACAAAAGACCATACAGGAAATAGCAAATAAGGAGTGAGGGCACGTTTTGGGCTCCATTGACTCCAGCTCCAATTCAATTTGTATTGAAAAAACGTTGCCTCTCTCTGTAACTACTGCTTTCAGACTCATCATTTTGGTCCTAAATTTGTTCATATTAACTCGCTCTACATGATCTTGGTGTTTTTATTTCACTATTTGTCAAACACTATGGGCTGTTTTACATTTTATATGCATTTACATTTGATAAAAAGTAATATTCTGTTAAACTTACTGCAGTATATTTAGTTTATGGCAACACTGATTACCCAACATTGTGATAGGCCCATTGTTATTGTTAACAAAAATAGCGCAACCTTAATTTTCTGGCTAAATCCTACAGTATTCCACAGTGGAAACAAGACACTTCCTGAGAGACGATCATGAAAAATTCACAGGCGAGTGTTTGGGACCATTGTGTTGTTACGATTTATGATTTAGTTCTTCCTGGCTCCACTGCACACCACTGCCTTCCAGCCACACTTTACAACAGTTACACAACACATAGTAATGATCCTGCTTCAAATCAGACTTATTTCCACATGTTGCATCATTTCTTATTTGTACAATATTGAATCACAACCAAACATGTTCTAAATGATAATGTGTAAATAATTGATTTCATGCGGAGTTTAAGCAAACTTGGCTAATTAATGTATCTGAGTCTTCCAAACAGATTTGGCTTTGTCAAGGTTTTGACAAACAAAAGAAAACTAAATATTATATTGAACAAGAAATGTTATGTAACATTCTTGGTGGAGGGTCTTAGTCCTGGTGGGGGGTTTGGTTCTGGTTTTAGACCTGGTTTAGGCCTGGTTTAGTTCTGGTTTAGTTCTGGTTTTAGTTCTGGTTTAGTTCTGGTTTAGTCTTGATTTTAAACCTGGTTTAGACCTGGTTTTAGTTCTGGTTTTAGACCTCATTTAGATGTGGTTTAGTCCTGGTTTTAGTTCTGGTTTAGTTCTGGTTTAATCCTGGTTTAGTCCTGGTTTTACTTATGGTTTAGGTCTTGTTTAGTCCTGGTTTTAGACCTGGTTTAGTCCTGGTTTAGTCCTGGTTTTAGTTCTGGTTTAGTTCTGGTTTAGTTCTGGTTTAGTTCTGGTTTAGTCCTGGTTTAGTTCTGGTTTAGTTCTGGTTTAGTTCTGGTTTAGTCCTGGTTTTAGACTCGGTTCAGACCTGGTTCAGACCTAGTTTAGTCCTGGTTTAGTCCTGGTTTAGTTCTGGTTTAGTCTTGGTTTTAGTCCTGGTTTAGTTCTGGTTTAGTCCTGGTTTAGTTCTGGTTTAGTCCTGGTTTAGTTCTGGTTTAGTCTGGTTTAGTCCTGGTTTAGTTCTGGTTTAGTCTCTGGTTTAGTTCTGGTTTAGTTCTGGTTTAGTCCTGGTTTAGTTCTGGTTTAGTCCTGGTTTAGTTCTGGTTTAGTTCTGGTTTAGTCCTGGTTTAGTTCTGGTTTAGTCTTGGTTTTAGTCCTGGTTTAGTTCTGGTTTAGTTCTGGTTTAGTCCTGGTTTTAGTTCTGGTTTAGTTCTGGTTTAGTCCAAAACAGTTTCCAAAGTGCTGCAAGTATAAAGATAAAACAACAAAAGTTAAAAAAAAATAAAAAAATAAAACTAAAAAAAAAAACATAGAAGGGATAAATGCTCACTTTAACCTTCCCAGTCCTAAAACACTAAAACCAGTAAAGTCAAATAAAAGCACACAGAGGACCACACAGCGCACACTGAGTTAAAAGCCAGAGAGTAAAAGTAAAAACACTGCACTGTGGGGGCGATAACATCTCCATGGAGACAAGCAGGCGACAGATCCTCCATCAGTAATGTTACATAATGCACCTTTAGTCGACACAAGACCTTTGAGGCTTTGTAAAGTCACAGTGAGTGATGAGTGTACCTTCCATGGGAGTGTTGCTGTCGGGGCGATTGGCAAAAACTACATCCACATACTCCATCTGCATCCTCTGTAGAGAACCTTTCAGACCTGCGGACAAAAGACACGCACAGAGGCTATATCAGGACAAATGTTTCAAAAGACAGGCGTTTCTGCGAGACTGCTGTGGAAGATGTAATGCTCATAACGATGGTTCTGTAGGTTAATACTTCATACTGGTTTAATATTACTACATTAACATATTTTACTATATCATTTGTATTGTAAGTGTGTTGTAAATGTACTAGGTCAAGTATTTATGCAGGATTTTAATGTAACTTAATTGACTGAAATATTTTGACAGACTAGAGAAATCAGACACCATCAATAGATACTTTGCAGTGACATCACGCTTGAGGTTCTGCGTGTATGTCTATGGTAAAATGTGCAGCAGTTACCATGGACATCCCTAAGTGTTACAGCCCCAGGCCTCCAGTTTGTTGACTTGTTTTGTGTGTGTTTTAATTTCTTTCTTGTCCCTGTGGATTCCTGTTGTCCTGGTCTCTAATTGGTGGGGCACTTCTACACCAGGCCGATCCTGCCTCACCTCCAGCCTCCTCCCCCTATTTAAGTTGATTCTCCACACCTGTATGGGGCTGCTGGTCTTTGTGGCCCGTCTGCCATTTTGTATTAGCCTGTGTCTCTTTAGTGTCAGTCACTCGTTTTTGTACTAGTATGTAGGGTTGGGTGGTAATATGGTATTACGGTATCCCGCGGTATCAAAAAGTAGCAACGATATCAGTTTAATTACTGTCATTAAAAAATCTGTAGTGCATAAGGACCTAATATAGTATCATAATTTATTTATACCTAAATTTGTTTGCTCAGCACAAATGAATGTGTGGTTGTTTTTTTCAATTTAATGCTATCACTATTTAAAACTAATAGTGTTTATAATGTTTCTTTGAACTGCTTGTAGAGATGATATTTGATTAGTTTCGTTCCGTTGTCATGTGGCACTCAAGAGAGACTAAGAAAAGATGGCAAGTGTGACTGCAAATGAGTTGGTCCCCAAAAAATACTAGTACTTCTGCAATTTGGCATCATTTTCGCTTCAGACCAGATTTGTTTACGTTTTACAGAAACAAAACTTAAAACCATATGGCTAATTTGCATAATCGACAAAGCGCTGATAAAAACAGCTCGGTCCTTTTGTCCTGATGCTGTTCAGCTTCTGTTGGACTAAAGGACACAACTCAGTGGAATATGAGTGTTCTTCCTGTGAGTCTGTTCTGTGCGTGGGTCGCGTTGGAGATGGTTCATGTGAAACTTTTCAAAGATTATAAGTCTGCAGGTCATAGACTGTATAACGGTGCGGCTTTGTATCATACCAAAGTTGTACTAAAACATTTTGATAATACAGTAATACCGTATACCCTGGTAAAATCCTGAGAAGGTTCAATTGTATCAAAATTTGGATACCACCCAACCCTACTAGTACGTGTCTGACTTAGTTTGTTTTGAGACACTTGTTTTGTTTAGTTTAGTTCTGTTTTGTGCCTTTTTGTTTTGTCACTCGATTCTGTTTTTCTGTTTATGTGGTTTTACTTTGGGACACTTGTGATTTAATGTGGTGTGTGTCCCTTAGTTTAATCATAATCTCGTTTTTATATAGACCTGCGTGACCCGTTTTATTGGCACAAAACTTGTTGTATGTTTCTTAGTTCAGGTTATTTTCTGTACATATTTTAGCCTGTTTTGTTAATTTACTGTTTACTTTCCTGTTAATTAAACATTACTTAGTTTATTCCATTTTCCACCTTTGTTTTTTGCTACTTCCCTGACCCTAGCGAGCTGGGTCGTAACACTAGGAAAAACTAATCATGTGCTATTTGATTAACAGAGCTTCAGACAGAGCGGTGCCTCCGGTTAGCTTCACCCTCCCCCCAGGAAATGTTGATGACATCAGCTGCAAAGTATCAATAAGGCATGAAATTAGGAGTGAAAGACAAATTTAAATGAATACTTTGAGAATTTGTATTTGTAGACAATATTAACTATCTAAACTATGCTAAACATTGGAAGGTCCTCTGTAATTTTTTCCTTTTTTTTCCTATGAGACTTTCTTTATTTGGATAGAAAGATGGTGTCTCTATAAACCTTTCTGGCAACTGCATATGACATAAATAAAATTAATTGGCACTGAATTAGGTGGTAGGCAGTGTTATAGATTCATCAAACATGTCTTCCACAACTGCCTTGCACTCCAGATATACCCACTATTCTATGTTTAATTTTAGAAACCTATATCATCCATAAATCACATGTTATTTACCCCAGTATCAGCTGCTGCATATTGGTGTGTGTTTACCTTCTATAATGTGCTTTCGCGATAGGCCCCTCTCCGTCTCAGCCCTAAATGAGACAGAGATAAACAGCGTCAATAAAGCGCCTCGGAGTAGAACCATCAATCACTCTCCTCACTGTCTGGCCTCACAGCAACCCGACCACTGCAGACCCGAGTGCAAATGAGAGCCGGGTTTACATAACTAACAGGAAGTGCAGAGGGAGAAGGGAGGGCTACAGTTATCGGTAAATACAGGTGGACAGTAACAGTACAAACAGAGGAGTGTGCGAGGAAACTTATCTCAAAGAATAAAACGAAAACAGCTGGACTTAGTTAGATTAGAAGCCGACACTACCAACTAAGTAGCTTTATTAGTGACTCCCACTTAAAGACTGAGAAGAGAAGTGAACTAAAGGAGTGCTATGTCACCCATAGTGTTTTGGTCCAGTCAAATGAAGCTCATTGAGGTTACAAGTTATAGGGGCAAATTTTCCGTAGTTAGTAGTTAGTAAAGAGCCAATCTGGAGAAAGAAGGCAGCTGATTTATCTGTTATTAAATTTCATATCTTGATTTACGAACAAAATAATGAAATACACTACAGGTCAAAAGTTTTAAAACACCACACATTTTACTGTTTACTGTTGACCAAAATGTATTCTAAACTTTTGATTCATGAAAGTGTCCACCTTTGGCAGATATAACACCTGAACACACTTGAGGCATTCTTTTTACAATACAAAATCAAATATTCTTCAGAAAGTTCTTCTCAAGTCTGTTGCAGAAGTTTCCATAAATGTGTGACACTTGTAGTTTGTTTGGTTTTCACTCTTCTGTCCAGTTCATCCCAAAACCAACTCGATGGGGTTTAAGTCTAGAGACTGTGCTGGACACTCCATGTTTTCAAGCTTTACCATCTTGTTCTTTTTTTCTATTTCTATCAAAACTGTGGTTATATGTAAGATTTGTATTTATGAATTATAGCTGCTAAATTTTAATGCAAATTAGGGTTGGGACGAGACAGATTTTAACATAATTCATAATAAATAAATGTGATTCAGTTCATAATTTTGGTCTCAATATTTATGATTTACTTTATATTTACTTGATATTTTTTATGTCATTGTAGCACTAGTAGTTTTCTTTTCAAGAAATTTAACTTGTTAACACTTAACCCTTTTTTGTTCAATCCAAATGTAAAAACATGAGAAAACAATCTCACAAGGTCATTTTTCTTGTGAGATTTTTCTTTTGTCTTGCGAGTTCTCTGTGCATATAAACACTGTGAGTGAATTAAATATGTGAATGTATTCTGAGCCCGAACAAACACGGCAGCCTGCATGAGGAATATGAATCATGGAAGATTAAAAAAAAGCACGTGCAGAAAAGAAGCACTAATTCCTCTTGAGTTCACCTAAATAAGGACATAATCAACATGCAGATTAACTACTGTGATGGGCTCTGTGCCAAACTGGTGGGTGCACAGAGTCATTAAAAGACAGAAGGAGGAGCCGGATCACCGTACTACTGCTTTTGGGAATTATGCAATATGTTGTAATAGCTTCAAGACGATAAACAAACACAACTATTCATAAAAAATAATAAAATAAAAAAGTAGCAACACTCAATAAACAAAATATACTGACCCTACATAAATATTTTAAGTCACCTTTTTACATGTAATTATTATACGTTGATCCAATGCACTGTATGTAGTTGGATTGTCAAAAGTACTGAAAATCATTTACTAATATTAAACTAGATACTCATTTGAACACAGGGCAGAATTTAACCTTTTCCTGAATATCTTTAGAATGATCTTGAGTCCACATAGAATGCAAGAGGATAGACTGCTATTTTTAATTATATTTTCTATGTTGCTACTGTAAGTTTATTTCTATTTTGCTGCTGCCAAACTTTGAATTTCCTTTGGGATCAGTAAAGTATTTATCTACACTACCGGTCAAAAGTTTTAGAGCACCCTCATTTTTCCAGTTATTCATTGCGGTTCAAGTCGTGCAAATCCAGTGAACAGCTTGAAATGGTACAAAGGTAAGAACTGAACAGACAGAGGTTAAAAAAAGATCAAAGATAACAAAACACAAGTCCAAGCTCTGCCAAAACCAGCTCGGGAAAAAAGAACAAGATGGTAAGCTTGAAAACATGGAGTGTCCAGCACAGTCTCCAGACTTAAACCCCATCGAGTTGGTTTTGGGATGAACTGGACAGAAGAGTGAAAGCCAAGAAACCCACAAGTGCCACACATTTATGGGAAACTTCTGCAACAGACTTGGGAAGAACTTTCTGAAGAATATTTGATTTCTATTATAAAAAGAAAGAACCATGAGTGTGTTCAGCTGTTATATCTGCCAAAGGTGGACACTTTCATGAATCAAAAGTTTAGAATACGTTTTGGTCAACAGTAAACAGTAAAAAAGTAAATAAGTATGGTGTTCTAATAGTTTTGACTGGTAGTGTATCTGTCTAGACTGGTATACGGCCTACCTAGACGACTGGGGGATCGCAAAGATATAACACCACAAGGTAATATGAAAGAAAATACTATAATTTAATGTTGAAAATTACATTCTATTACCTAAAGAAAGAGTTTTACTTATCATTGTGGGATCGGAATCAGCATTGAGTATCAAGTCTATTCCTTTGTATCAAAATAGAGTTTGCAATTGTTGTAGTATGTAGTGACTGCATTTCTCTTTTTTGATTGAATTTATACTTGTGATAGAAGAAAAACAACTCAATGGAAGTTAATTTACTGTAGCTAATAACAGACAGAAATATCTTTAAAGGTTATGTATTACACAAAATTGATTCTTGTGAGTTTTAAGCCAATTTATAATGTTGTACTTCATTAAAACATACCTGGAGTTGTGTTTTGCTTCATTCACACATGTTTGAGTATTCCTGCATTATTAGGCTTTGTTAGGGTGACCAGATTTTCAAAATTCAAAACTGGGACACACCTCGACTGGGATGGGTTTGTATAAAAAACTATGTGAAAAGTGTGTAACATTGTGCATTCTAGTGTCAGTCATAATCTGAGTGACTTCTGAGGGCATTTACAAGTATGGTTTTCTGTATTTTGGCTAAACAAATGACAATTGATGCTCCTCTTTACTGTTGGTGGGGATCAGATTAGACAAAAATTATGATAGTCCTGTTTTAGTTCTGGTGCAGACCTGATGCAGTCCTGTTTAGTCTTAGGTTAGGCCTGGTTTAGATCAAATTTGCTAAAAATATGGACACCTGGGACATTTCTTCTTGTAGAAAACTGGGACAAATCACTGGTTTTGAATAAATCCGCTGGGACAGGGGGCACAGAGCTCAAAACTGGGACTGTCCCGGGTAAATAGGGATGTCTGGGCACTCTAGGCTGTCTGCATCACTAAAGCTCAAAATCCTCTCTTCTACCTTGTGATGTCATGAAACAATAAACTTCAAGTCATCAGCTACCTACTTTTGTTTAGTAGAGATTGGCAGTTCGAGGGCTGAAATTATCCAAATGATTCTAACAAAAACTGTATGGAGTTTAAAAACACAATGGAGCACTTCCTGACATTACAAGGTGGAACAGAGTGTTTTCTATCTAACAGAAGAACTCAGCCTTAGGGTTTGTTTACACGAGAATGATTGCGGATAAAAATGACAAAAATTTTATCAGAAGTGCCTTTTGTTTAGACGGTGACGGCGTTTTTGGGGCTTAAAGACACAAAAATCTGAAACCACCATCCAGAGTGGAAAAGTTGACTGCCCCTACACTGCCCAAGACCCAAAACTCTGGCCAGATCTGCTCATGTCGCGTACGCATTTACGTCATACATCACCACCTAGCGTCATCACCTAGCCGAATTCTACATACTTTTGCGTCATCGTATGCATCGTCATCGTTTTCCTCCTGAAAACGCTTGTCTAAATGCGGAATTAAAAGGTGAAGACACGATGCCACTTCTGCTTCTTCTGTTCAGACCGTCATCATATAAACATATCCTTAAATATGCAAGATTTGTGCGTTAAACGTGTGAATGAAACAAAACACACCTCAGGTATGTTTGGGATGAGGAAACAACAACACAGATCAGAAAATAGTGTAACATGGGCCCTTTAACGCGTTCAATCACCACTCAAAACTGAATATATAGATTTTTTTTGCTGTGTATTTTTAAGCAGCGAAGTGACTCATACTTACTTTCCTCCCCAGTAAAGTTTGGTTGTTATGACAAGACTGGATCTCCTGAAAAACACACAGAGATACATTAGCATAAAGCCATTGTCTACACACCACAAAAGCAGAAAGCCCTATTTGGTATCAGAAGTGACTCAGACAGTTATGCTGTGAATATATAGATGCTGTGTTTAAGAGTTCGATCGGTCCAACAGGTGCTCCACGCAGTACAAAGAACCAGCCATTATAAAGCTGTTCAAAGTATCCAGGCAACCAAGGCTCCTGTCAGCGCCGTGCATTGTTTTCATCCAACTATAGCCACAAGTTCAACCCCTGGAATTATAATAGGCTTAAGAAAGACATGCTTCAACTTCACTGGAAATCAAAGTGGTGTCATGTACTGTTCTGTGTGATTTTAAACGTCCATTCACCGCTTTACTCAAACACTGAGAGATACAGGACTACAATCATACTATAATAATCCCTACAACTGTAAAACAACAATCTGTGTATCATTCGTGTTTCAAAATAAAACCAAAAATAAGAAAACAAAAAACTATTTTCTTTGTTATTTGTCTCCAAAACCAAAATGAAAAACGATAACGATTCGTTGTTGTTTTTTTTTTCAGTTTTCGATCTTGATCTTGTGACGGACTTTTGTGCCACATACGGACTGAACCAGGACTGAACCAGGACTAAACTAGGTCTAAACCAGGACTACACCAGTACTAACCCGGTCTTAGTCCCGGTCTCAGTTCCAGTCCCTGTCCTGGTCCCGGTCTTGTCCTGGTCTCAGTCCTGGTCTCAGTCCAAGATATGGTCCTGGTCTGGTCCCAGTCGGGGTCCTGGTCTCAGTCCTGTCTCAGTCCCGGTCTGGTCCCGATCTCAGTCTTGGTTCAGTCCATATGCGGTTCAAAAGTTCAGCATCGCAGTTTAAGTCACGGAAACAGGAAATGATCGTTATCCGTTTTTTCCATTATTCATTTAAGTCTAAACCAGTCAGGCCTAAACCAGACCTAAACCAGGACTAGACCAGGACTAAACCAGGACTAAACCAGGGCTAAACCAGGAATAAACCAGGACTAAACCAAGCCAGGTCTAAGCCAGGTCTAAACCAGGACTAAACCAAGTCTAAACCAGGACTAAACCAGATCTAAACCAGGGCTAAACCAGGTCTAAACCAGATCTAAACCAGGGCTAAACCAGGACTAAACCAGTACCAAACCTGGACTAAACTGGAACTAAACCAAGACTCAACCAGGACTAAACCAGATCTACACCAAGGCTAAACCAGGACTAAACGAGAACTTAACCAGGACCATAAATGACTCCACAATTAACAGCCTATTTAAACAAGCTTCAAAGCACAAAACTAGAGGCAGTAAAAAGGTAAATTTAGAAGAACGAGTGCATTTTGAAACACGATAAGTCATAGTTACAAGCTGCACCAAGACACATTGGCTGTTCCTCCCACCTCCTCATCAATATTACACGCAGAACATGTTTAAATCTATCAGTGCGTGACATTACACGTGCCTACACACATCACAGCGCCGCAGACACACATCTTCCTCACATCTACAATGCAATCAAATCAAAACCGGGCTTTTTCTGCTGTTACACACATTCTTCACCCTTGAGTTTAATATTTCATAGAGCCAATCGTGCGTATTACCTCCAACATTTCTTCTTGATGATGTTTCCTAGAATGATCTCGGCCCTGCAAGGCAAAGACACACCAGATAACGTTATTCAATTATGGAAGTTCATAAACAGTTTCAGCTGCACTAATGAAAAGCATGTTATTTATTTATTTGTTTTCTTTTTTTTATATATATATATGATGGAAGGCGTAATTGATTTTTGTTTGATTTATTTTCCGTAGAGAACTATAGCGAGTTGCAGGCAGTATGGGTGAAGGAGCTGATATGGAGTGTAGTACTAATACTGGCAAACAAAATAGTCTCTGGCAGTGTTTCTCAAACTGTGGTAAGTGTACAGGTGGTAGGGGGCAGTGGGCGACAGTAGCCGTAATTCGATGGTTGTCAGTTCAAATTTCGATCTCGACATAAACATTTTTGGTTGAGTGGTGGAGGTGAGATTCCAGCTCCCACAGATGAATGCTGTTGTTGCGTCCTTGAGCAAGACACTCAACCCACCTCGTCTACAGTATCTGCGTACACTGGGTCATGAATGTGTGTGTGTATGAATGTATGAGTGGTTGTAAAGCTTTTTGAGTGCCTTGAAAGTAGAAAATTTCAATATAAAAATGTGAACATTTACTAGGAGGGCCTCTCTGCAGTTTCAGTATTTTTTTTAGAGAAGTTTTTTCCTGTTTTTAACTAAGCCACAGTGTGTAACTTTTTAGATTTAAAAAAATACCTTAAAATGAAAGTATGTTTTTACTTTTTTATTGCACTGAAAAACATGCATCCTTACTCTGAGTGGGCTTGCATCTCCACAAACCTGACACTTATTTGGCCAGGAGGAGAGTGTTTTCTTAGACAGACTGGAGCCACTTAGTGCCTCCGCTCAGTTTCATTTTTCTCCAGCGACTAGGTCAGGAATCGGAATACACTAGACGGTTTGCAAGAACCCCGGAAGTTGTAGACTGTGCACCGGCCAATCAGTGAAGAGCTGTGAAGCCATGACATCAAACTCAAGCACCTGTCTGTGTCGCTTTTACAGCACAAAAGTAAACAAAGCGGTCGAGATGGATGTAGACAAAGTCATACATTCTGTGTTGGCAACAATTAACGAGATCAAGGATTTAAAGCTGGAACAAAGAGAATGTTTGGTGAATTTTATCAAGGGGAAAGACGATATTGCCATTCTTCCTATGGGATTTGGCACATTACAAAACGTCACGACCAAATAGCAGCGATTGCTTAAATTAAAAAAGTACCCACCTACTGTCGAGCGCACAAATCCTAATGCTGCGAGGTCAGACGGTTTCCACAAAATGAAACCGGCTGATGAATCAGGCTAGTTCTCTTGCTTGTTCATGGAAATGTTGTTCCTTTGGCCATAATATCCCACAGTATGGCATCAAACGTGTCAATCTCCATGGACAATGATGTGCCACCTCCAGAAAGTTATATACTGTACCTTAACTTATCAGTATCCCAACCCTTATCCATGGTTTAGTGTCATTTTAGACCAGGTTTACTTTGAATTTAGATGTAATTTAGACATGATATAGTCTATGTTTAGATCTGGTGGTACTTGGAAGTACGGATGGATCGATATATCGGTTGGCCAATATATTGGGCCAATATTCTTTTGTAGAGGCTGATATTTTGTTTGGTACAACTGCACAACTCTTTATCTGAAAACAAAAACATATAAAGCTCTCGACTACACAGTTCTCCAGCTTGTAGTAAAACAGGTTTGTTAATGAATTTGTAGTAATTTCAAATCATATAATTTGGACAAAATATTCAGAATCTGCCTTTCATATCAGTCATATATTGACCTAGAAATATTGCCCATCTGTGTGTCTGGATTCTAAATAATCCATGAAAAATTTAAGATTAAAAAAATATATCAGTCAGTCTCTACTCTTCTTCCTTGGTGTGAAAAGTTGAGAGGCACAGGTCTATGCTGATGTAAACTCTGGTAACTTTCTGACCCCAGGTGTGGCTAACCTGAGCTCTTCCACAGCAGTGAGTCGAGTGGAGGTTTAAGGGCCACTGGAAGGAGATGAGAAAGCACCTACCTTCTCTTGGCAGGGTCACAACACTTTCACTTTACTTAAAATTCATTTATTCTTCAGGTGTTGGAAAGTCTGGTTAGAATATTTCTCCACTTCGCTGGTACTGGAAGTTATAGTGTAGAAAAAAAAAACTTGGAATAAACTTGAAGGTGCCTGTCTTCATTGAGATGTTTTTGTTTCGCCTGGATTGTTACGCAGTTTGGCATTAAACGTATCTACAGAGACAAGAAGGAACGACATCATGCCAAGTTACAGGCTAGGTCTGTGGAGAAGCGACCATGCTCCCATTAAAAATGCCTGTTTTTAGGAGTAGATTTTAGGTAGATTTTATTAAAGGGCCCATATTATGCTGTTTTCTGATCTATGGCTACGTTCTGACTGCTGGGCTTAATGCTCAATTCAGATTTTTTTTGTGAAATCTGTTTTTTGCGAAGATTTCCAATTAAATGCGACTTGTTTGCTATCTTCAGTGTGAACTTTAAACGCCCCAAAAGTGTCTTGCATGCTCATCAGAAGACACAACGACGTCACACGCAGCGAGTGTGCTTATGGTATGTGTCAGTGTTTATGGAAGTCACCTAAACTCTGGCTTCTCTCCCAAAATACAGTTCAGTTCTTCATAAAATGGACAGGTTACATGTTCACAGCTGCTTTGTTTGTTTGAGTCTTTAGCCTCCTTGTATATGGCTCACAGGATCTTTATTCTTTGTTGACACTGGAGCCAGGACGCCTGTAGCCGAGCTTGGCCATTCCTTTGGCAATGATAAAAAAAAAACCTCTCGGTTCCAATAAGATCCCTCCAATTTGGCCTGAATACAGCGCTCCCCCCAAATATTAATTAATTCAGTAACCTCGCTTTCCCTCCATTGACTAGACTCTGAGCCTGACGTGTGGGTGGGATGAATGTGACCTGGCCGTTCAGATTGAAGCCGCATGTCAAAAGATCTGATATGTTTTGGTTTTAGAAGCACATATCCAAGTGGCCTGGGTCGCATTTGAAAAAATCGGATCTCTGCCATTCAGAATGTCATTAAAAGATTAGATACAGGTCACATAGAGGCACACAAGCATCAATTTTGTGTAATATGGGATCTTCAAAATAAACCAAATTTGAAAACACTAATTCATTTACTTTATTTTGTTGTATTTGTGAAAGGTGCAAACAATAGCAGAGAGCACTGTTTATGAATACACACATACATCTATCTCAGATCACTTGACTGACCTGCCCCCGGCGTAGACCTCTGCTGTGTCGAACAAGTTCACTCCGCTCTCGTACGCGATGGTCATGAGCTGCTCTGCCACCTGCACACACACAACACACAGATTAGTTAACATTGAATAGAAGTTGTTTTTCTTACCAAATGGCACTGAATCGTAAAGTAAGACTGATCAATGAGAAAAAATGTTTACTTTAAAGGTCCTATATTACGCAAAATTGACTCTTGTGAGCTTTAAACCACATTATAATGTTGTTACCTCATCAGACACATACCTGGAGTCGTGTTTTGTGTCATTTATGTGTGTTGAGTAAACCTTTATTATTAGTCTGTCTACATCTCCAAAGCTCAAAATGCTCTGTTCCACCTTGTGATGTCATGAAGCGGTAGTTTTTCAGTTAACAGCTATACCTTCTACATTTTGTTCAATGGAGATTGGCAATTCTTGGGATGAAAATATCCAAATGATTCTAAATGAGGTGTGTGGAATTCAAAAAGACAGTTGTGCGCCTTCTGTATCACCACATGACATCATAAGGTGAAACAGAGTGTTGTCTGTTTGAGAGAAGAACTCAGCCCTGTGTATTTAGGGTTTGTGTGTTAAACCTGTGTGAATAAAACAAAACACAACTCCAGGTATGTTTTTGATGAGGAAACAACATTATAACATAGATCAGAAAATAGCGTAATATTGCCCCTGTAAGCAGGAAATTATTGAACAAATATGCTGGGTATCAAATTTTATATTTATTGACAATGTATTGCATTCTACAAACAAGCTCTCCTATAACTCCTACAACCCACAATCTCTAGTATTGGAATAACAATTTCTACTCTACTGACTTACCTCATAAAATATTAATGACACTAAGGTCAAACTAAATATCAGCCAGTTTTACAGAGTTTACAAAATAATATTCTCCATAACACTAACAGTGAGTTTGAATATCATGATCTGATAAAAACACATAACACAGTACATATCTGCAGTATTTCCCTTATATCATGTACAAATTCTGAAATGTTTACATGCTTGACCAAATAATCGCTTTAAACCAAGTAAACCTGTACACATTAATTTGTTCTGTAAGAATACAGCAACATGAACTGTAAATATGTAAATTGTATATGGATGTGGTGACTGAGATTGAATAGGACAAGTTTTGCATACTGATTTAGTGGATGAGTGATTGCATTAATATACATTTTATTTTATTGGCATCTTCCTGTATGACATTAACCTGTCCAAGGACTGAAGGTGGAAATGAGCAATTTTACTATAATCTGGCACAAACATATTACCTCTTTGTGTAGCTCAGAGTTTTTATGTGCATTGTCCTTCATAAATAAACAAATAAACTAAACTAAACCATAGAGAATGGACTTGTAAATGATAGGTCCTGGTGGAATCATGGGTTCACCTCAGGACTCTTACAGTGTCACTTATTGATGAAGGAGAAGCCCAGGTCTGACCTAAGAGTCTGCAGTGACTCAGTGTACAGTTACCTGCTGCACATGAGAGCTGGGAAACATCATGGGCTTGTCCTTTGGGTTTAGACTGTATAAAGAAGTGGAGTAAAGGAATGACGTGAAGCTGAAAACTAAAGGAGTGCAGAGATTTTTTTAGGATACGTTTATATGACAGTCTGAACAGAAGATGCAAAAGTGGCGTTGCATTTTCTCTTTTTATTCTGCATTTAGACAAGCGTTTTCTGGGGGAAATTTGAGCAAGGTAAAACAAAATAAAAAACAAAACAAAAAACAAGGATATATACATGTACATATTTGGGACCTGGAGTTCAAATGGAGTAGTAAAAACTTATAATGTCCTACCCCAATTGTTTTACATAAACAAATGGTTGACACTTTTAGATTTTTTTGCACTTTGGAGTGCTTACCTGTCGTATGCATTTCATAAATATACACATGAACATATATGTATACAAATGCATATATATGTATACACACACACATACACGCATATGCACACACATATGCCCACATGTACATACATACATGTATACATACAAACAGATACGCATCTATAATATACAGTACATACACGCAGAAATATATCTTTGTTTATGGTCATACAAACTAACAATAATAATAAAGAAGATACAAAGTTTATCGTCCATGATCGTACAAAAATAAACAACAATGAGAATGTAAAATTTGAGGAGTTTTATGTTCATTATGGTCGTACAAACTACTAATAGTGTTGAAGAAGGCACTAAAGTTTATCGTTTATGAACATACAAAGAGTACAGTAATAACAAAGAAAAAGTAAGAAGATTTTTGGTTTTAATTTATGGTCGTACAAACCTACAACAAATCTGCGTGCATACGGTGATGCAAAAGTGTGTGGAATTCCATTGGGCACGTGACGATGACAGCGACGGCGATGTGAGCAGATCTGACCAGAGTTTTGTGTTTTGGGCAATGAAGATGGAAACACTACAGCAGAGCATGTTCAACTTTTCCACTCTGGAGGGTGATTTCAGATTGTTGCGTTTTTAAGCCCCAAAAACGCCGTCACCATCTACAAGCAAGTATTCTCGTGTAAACAGGCCCTTAGAGAGTCCCATATTGGTCACACTGGGAGAATTCCATCCAAAAGTTCAAGACAGGTGTTTTCTTGTATTTTTATTTGTCAAATCATCATCAGGAAAGTTTTGGCAGTTGACAGTTCACTAGCGTTGTGTCATGATTTCCAACCAGGATGTAAACTCTGAAATCTAAAAAAAAAATTGCCAAATTAGAAAAAAAAAAAAAAAAACTTGACATACAGTCGTCCCTCACTATATCGCGGTTCACATTTCGCAGCCTCACTGTTTTGCAGATTTTTTTTTGCATGTTTTAATTTTATTTTTTACAGCGAATGAACGCGCATTGTGTTCCTCCCCCTACGTCCTGATTGGCTAAGGGACTGCAGACCATTGTCAGTCAATCTCCTGTCTCCTGTACAGTACAGAATGCGTTCAGCTTGCCAAATTTACATAAATGTTTGCAAATTTTCTCCACAACAAAACCCACAATGTCGACGAAATGTTGTGCACCGACAAAGGCTCCTGCGGTCGCACCCAAAAGGCAAAGGAAGATGCAAACCATCTCACAAAAAGCTGGACTTCTGGACATGCTGAAGGAAGGTAGAAGTTACGCGGCTGTAGGGCGTCATTATGGAATAAATTAATCTTTGGTTTGTTACATAAAGAAGGAGGACGACAGCAGAAATAAGTTTTAAGAAGGATGCAAAAGGGTTCTAACTGTATTGTCTGAGAAAAGGGTATAAAGTGTGTGGTGAGGGTTTTACAGACTTAAAAGTTATATAATAATTGTAAAAAAATAAAGCTTCACGGATTTTGCCTATTGCAGGTTATTTTTAGAACGTAACCCCCACGCTAAACGAGGGACCACTGTATTTTATATTTAAAATAATTAAATAATGATCTTAGGTGCACTATGCAACTTTTCCATCCATTTTGAGGTCCATCACCTTCTTGTAGGATATGTCATTGCACTGCTTCAGATGTTCCACAATATGACATTAAACAGTTCTACCTTAAATCTATTCAATTACAGGTGGTTTTATAGCTCAAAAATACCTAGAAAAACAGGGATTCTTACAGTTAGCGGGCACTGTTGTCTCTCCAGTGATCTGATAGATAGAGACATGCACATCCAACAAAAATTGCAACTACGTGCTTGGTCCAAAAAACAAAAACTGTGCAAAGGAAGAAAGAGATCCACACTGCAGTACTTTGAAGCTCCCGAATTTGTACTTCAACGACACCACAATGTGACGTTTCGAGCCAAGCCCTTCTTCAGATCTGTCTCCAGTGATCCATCAGAAAAGTCACACAATGCACCTTAAGTGTAAGTAACAAAAATACTTGCTTTGGATCAAAATACCAGTGGAAAATATGACAAGACACATCTATTTCAATCCTACGTTTCCTGAGCGTAGGACAGTTGTAATTGTCTCCAGTGAGTTTCATGTTCGTGGAGGTCTAAGGAGGCGCGACATCCAGGAGGGCAGCCTGTTAGTCACACTGCAGTGAACAAGACTTTACTTCCAAGTACAAAGTGACTCATTTGGTCAAACTTTTCACACGCTGACTCATCAAATGACTCCCTCTTCAAAATGGAGTCTGACTGAGGTGGATTCAAATGGGATTTTTGCACAAGATGAAATGAAAAAAGTATATGCGCGGTATCTCACTTTCACTGTCTTAAAACATGAAAACCAGAACTATTTTAAATGGTTTGCAGTGGTCCAAAGTTTTTCCTCACTCACCTTATGCATTCTGAGCATCCTAATTATCCACTGTGAACGGTAAGAACGGTTCACAACTTCGAGAGAGTTTTGCCGTCATTGTTAAAGCAGCAACAGTTAGCAAGTTAACAAGCACTTCCTGATTATCGGACAGTAAAACAATTTATAAATAGATACAGACAGGAATGCAGAGGACACAGTTTGACCTCAAGAACTGCTTATAAAACACGCTGCATCTGCATTGGAGCAAGAAGAATTTTGCTCAGATATATAGGAAAAAATCAGGTACAGGCCTTTTAAGAAGTGAGATAAGATTATTTATTAAGGGCTAAAATTCATTCATTCATCTCAACTGACCATAAAGTAATTACAATTTTTTTTACTACTTTTTGGCAAATATTAACACGTCTGCATCTTGTATTTTCTTGATTTTCTCAGTAAGAAATTATATTTATATGACATATTTACAATTGCTGTTGAATTTTCATCACCTGACAAGCTCGAGATCATCATCGTGACAGTTCTGTAGTGCAGTTAAGGACAGCAAAATGGCTTGTGTTAAGGTATGAAAAGTTGACAGAGAGTGTTGAGTTTTCAAAGAACAGTGGACGAGCGATTATTTTTCATTCAGTGTAAGGCCCATGCAGTTTGTCTAATATGTAAAGAAAGTGTAGCGGTTTTCAAAGAATATAATCTGCGTCGTCAGGGTCATACAATTCCGTTATATACAGCCGACCCGACCCCGGGCCCCATCACAGTCAGGAGCAATAATGTGGCCCCCAGAGAAAAAAGTTTGGTGACCCCTGGTC